ACTTTCTGTTATATTCTCAAAGATTTAGGAACTACTGTTGAAACGGCAGACTGGAATGTGAACATGAATCATATGAATGATGCAAATTCATCTTTTTGTTCACAGCAGTTTTGTGCAGGGTTCTAATTCTGATAATCATATGAAGACATTCAGGAAACAGCAATGTATTATTTGATATTTTGTGTCTAAAAGGACCTATGACCTAATTTATCAGGATTAATTTTCTAAACCCAGTGTGTACTAGATCTGTATAAAAACTTGCACTGGCTTAATGAGAGATTATTTTACTCTAATGTAATTTCTTACACTGACATACTGGCTTAAACCTGATGTCTCCTGGTTTTGACTGTGTCCTTACATTTCGGTTTCTGACTTTGTCAGCAGATCAGTATTAGATGATCCTGTAACACAGTCATCAGAATATGGACCTGCACCCCATTACCATAGCTTGTCTATATGGCATATTTCTGCAAACCCAATGTTGTTACTGCTGTCAACTCCTACCAAGCAAATACAAACAGAGAAGGAAGCAGGAGGCTGTGAGATAGTAGCGTCTTCCAACTGCTCCATTTGGGTTCAGCAAGGCTTTTTTATTAAAATCTGAAGGCCTCCATTCCATTTTCACTTACAGGTGCACTCATCAAACAGTAAATCAGTTTAATAAATGCCACTTTGGGTTGTCACTGACAGGTGGTACCGATTGGTGAACTTGTTGTCTATCTCCCCCAGTTTGTGGATACAGAGGGAGCTGTTTGGCTCCCACATGGCTATCACCGATTACAACACAGTACTTTAAGGTAAAGTTTTGATGATCTATATGTCAGCAATTTTAAGAAAGAAATTGGCTCACCTGCCATGGTGTAGAGTGGGGGCAGACATCTGGGGAAGCTGCCCTAAGGTAAACCATCTATATGGCTTACTTGGTGTAAGTTAAATATCTAGAGGACTTACTTGGTCCTCACTTGGTGTAAGTTAAATATCTAGATTGTTTTCATACCAGCTTGCACATGGATACTTGTCCATCAGAAGAAAACAACTCAATTAAAGTTAAGTGTGCAGTTTGATGGAATAAAAACTAATATTTTTCATCTTAATGAATATTCACATATGTTTAAAATAACACCACTGCTTTCGGTTCACATTTTTTATTTGCAGTTTGTGTGCAGACTTGATCAAATGAGTTTGAATGTTTGTATTGTTTATTTACTTTTTCTTATATTTTATTTAGTTTCAATATCAAAACCTTACATGTGAACACATTTTTACCTCCAGAAAAAAAATCTCTTCAGGGTCAAGCAGACTCCAAAGCTTTTCCTTGGCTACTTTGGATATTAGACTGGGAAATGGGTGCCGAAGTGCTGATAACAATCTTGCTTTAGTGTCTTTAGCAGTATTCCCAGTCAACTATATTATGGCCTGTGAATAGTCCTAGTAATTGGAGGGGAGTGAGGGTGCATTACTGGTAATAAAGCAGTATAGGCATACTTCAATTTAAACAACTTAGTATCCTTTATTGTTTTGTTGTCCTGAACTGTGTAAATCTAATCTCAATACTCAAGGTTTAGGTTTTACCACCAAAGAAATCTGAAATACAGCATCAGTTGACACCGGAATCAAAACTCTTCAGGACTCACAAAGAAGAGTTTGTAATTGCTGCCTGCTGCTAATCCTATCAGCTCATATTAGTGAAACATACTATAGTGCTGTAGGGAAGTTGTCAGGATCTGGTTGCAAGACTCAGCCTTTAGGAGAGGATTCAGGCTAAGCTTAGGCTGTACATCGCCACCCATGAGTCAAAGTACTTCTATTCTACTGAGTGACAGACCTCTGAGGGAGAACAATGTGCATGAAAAAGAAAATGCCTCTTTCACTTCAGTGCTATTGTTACTTTGGTTTAACTTTTTAACCTCCTTCCTATTAAATCTTCTTTCAGTCATAAAAAGATACCCGTAGCTGTTTTGTAAATGTGTTCTCAAAAAATGCATGAAATAATGCTTTATTCCAGGTGATATGATGAAGAATGAATTCTTAATCTTTGCTTTTAGACTTTTAGACTTATTTATATTAGGTCTTTTTTTTTAAAGTTTTATTTAGGCTTGTTCTGAAAGTAAGTGAATGATGAAAATGAATTAGTCTTCTAACTTAATCACACTAAAAAATATGTTAATTAGATTTTGGTAACACCTCCAGCAGTTACAAATGATCATTTTGCATATGTAATAAAGAAGAGTGCTTAATCTTTCAGTTACTTTGTGATTTACAAATTTTCTTTATTACTTTTTCCGTTTGGACCTAATAATGAAAATGTTTGTTCATCTGGGTGCTGAAGTAGGCGTAGTCTTAACTTGGATCATGACAGTATTGTCTTAAGTAGAATTAAGCCTTTTTTATGAAGTTCAAATATTTGCTATAAGGGAAAAATTTCACACATTTGCTAATCAGCAGAGTTCTCCGATTGTGGGCATGGTCATGAGCTTAATAAATTCCCATCTGAGCTAGACTCTGTTGTATAAAGCCACAATTTTATTTTTATGGTTGATGTCTTAAGAAATATTCTTATATATATTAATAATGTAATTTTTTCCTTTATTTCCTTTATTATTTCCTTTATAATTACAGCATGTATCATATGGGATTCCTTTCTATCTTCCAATCCTTACTGCCTTTCAAATTGTCATGAGAAGCTACTAAATGACACTGAGTCCAAGACTAAACACTTGAGGCAATGCAAATATGTGAGATTAACATAACATCCTTATATTAATTTATCTCTCAGACTATGCTCTATAAAGTCCATTTGTTCTGTGTTCCATCAAAGAAATGGCCCAGTCCTACAATAAGCTGCTGTTCAATTGCTGTTTGAATTTAGGTGGAGGGATCTGGTGATTCTAGCATACATATGGCCTGCATAGGAAGGGTCCTCAGAGGGCTTCAGGGATTTTGGAAGGAGATTATAAACCACATCCTGAACTTGTTAATTTGTTTTTTCAATGTAAAGAAAAATGTCTCTTTTTAATATCCTTTTTTCTTGTAAATTGTGTAATCTCACTTTGAATGGTATGAAACCAGTTTTCAGGGCTTCAAAAGAATAAGTAACTCATTGGAAAAATAAACAACTGTGCATTTTGGAAGTCTTTTTAAAAATAAAACCACTCCACTAGAGAAGTTTTATTTTAAGTTTTCCTAACTTATGTTCATGTTTCCCTTCAGTAAAGGAACAGAGTTTTTGTTATATGTTTCCATTAATGTTGAGACTGAGGCTTGGCATTTTTAATTTCTTTGCATGAACATGAAAATGATATTTTGAAGCACTAGCTAGAGCCAGCGTGAGTGCTGGCAAAGATTAACCAAGCTTCTTAAAACACTTCTACAGCACCTTGGCCATGACCTCCGATACCCAAGTGAATCCAGAGCTGCATCTATTTAGAGTTGAAAGTGGAGATAGAGACAAATTATAAGATGCATTTTGCAACAAGCCTTATTTATGGGCTACTTAAAAACTGGAATTTAGATTTTAAAGCTTGGACTATGGTTTTTTCCTGGTCTTCCTTTTCGGATTGATACAGTATGCCTCTTGCAGTTTAGATTTGAATTAATGTACTCTTACTGCTACAGAAAGATATCTGACTGTAATATCAAAGGCAACTAGAAAATACTACTTTTCTCCAAAATATTTTTCAAGCTATAGATAATAAAAAATCACGATTGCAGAAGATTATGTGTGTGCTTAAATTTAGGTATGCAAACTGCACCACTGCAAACAATGGACCTAATCACATGCTTGAAAGTAAGCATGTGCACAAATCTTTACAGGGTCGTGACCCAGTTCTCTATTGCTCCAGTTCACAGGAGGCCAACCTCCTTGACCTTGCAAGCCAAAATCCTCTTGTCATTGAGAGTTGTGTGATGCATAGCTCACCCCTCTGAGAGCTGATGTGTACATGCCCCCACCCAGCTCCTTTGATGGCAGTTAGTGTGGCCTGGACAAAATGCTGGTGTCTGTGAGTGAAAATGGTCTTCTACTAATCTGCACATCAGTACAGCGTGAACATTGTCATGTTCAAGGGAGTAAGTCTTTGCCAGCTCAAATGTACCCACAGTCATCTAATATTCCCAGTAATACCTACCTGCTAGTCAGTCTTGAAAGCAGTCAGGAGTTTAGTAATTCCACACGTCTAGATGAAGTTAAGCAGCTGCTTAACCTGAGACTCCACAAAGTACCTCTGGCCCATATTTGGGATGGACCCTACTTTTTACGACATCACTAGAATAAATCTCTCTGTGTTCCTTTGTTAGATGGGAACAAGGGATTTTTAGTGAAAAAACGATTCAGAGCATCATAACTTAAATATTTCTACTAAAGCAAGTAAATGCCTTATATATATATTTTATTTATCCATTTTCCTAAAATAACGACCATTTATTTTCTTTCTACATTATATGCTTAAATATTTTGTTTGATGGAAGCTTATATACTTCTAAAATGAGGGTTTCATTTTACTTAGATCACATAGCTGTTTTGACATTTATAAGTTATTTCTTACTGTTGTACTGAAAGGACTCCAGTGACAAGGAAAAGACCAGATACTAAAAGGGCAATCCCCCCCACCTTTACTTTTTAATAACATGAGTTCTGTGCTGGAAAATAAAGTAAGTTTTGCTTATATTGGGCATATTAGTATGTCCTCAAGTAACAGTCCTTTAGATTGTAAGTATTTTTGCTGATCAATAAGCTAAATCCAAATGCTAAACAAGAACACACATATGTGTGCAAAGCCTCGAAGTGTGATGATGTTAAAAGTATACATACAAGGACATCATATAATGCAGCTGGGTATTTTAGTTGTTTTTCCTAATTAGTATAACATTGACAAAGAAATAGATTAATAAACAAAATTGCACTCACAAATAAAAAAATAAGTTATAATCATATTCATATAAACATGCACACTTCCATAAGTATTGGAAATAAAATACAATATTTGAGCATAAATGTCGTACAAATATGTTTTCAACCAGAAATGTGGTAGTCAGGTTTATTGTACATATTTCTAAAAATAACAACAAATGATATCAGCAGAGTCCAATACTGAGGCAGATGCACCAGCTTCCATTTCATGTCTTCCATGTACAGTTTGTATTTCTGCAGTATAGTTTTTATTTGAATGAAGTAAACACACTATAAAAAAATGAATGAAAAACCAGACTGATTTTTTAGTTACCAGTGAAAAAAATCTCCAGAAATATGTAATCAAAACATGCAGACCCAGATTCTCATGGTTTATATTGGTGTAGATCCAGAGAAAGGAAAAACAGTGGTATTAGTTTGGCTTTGCTCATGCAGCTTAGAACTGAATCTGGCCCATAAAATTTAACAAGCTGCATTTTGCATCAGATGGCATTATATACAGGCAAGTACTTCATGGTTTGTAAATAGCATACATATTGTAAAAGGTGATGCAAATATGGCATTTCATGTTTTTGCTACTCACATTATTACCATATCCATAGTAATATTAAAGCCACTTAAACAGCTATCTTTAAGTATACACCTTTTTTAGATGCCTTTTTATTTACTTTCATTGAAGAGCTCATTCAAGATCCAATGAAATAGCTGATAAAGGCTGTGCTGGAGGAGAGACCAGTAGGGAAGGATAACGAACTCACTTTTATGAGTAAAGTCTGCAATCTTTCAGTCCAGAGAGTATGCAGTTTTTCAGAATCAAGAGACAAAAGCAAAAGATCTCTGAAAGCCAGGCTGCACTGACTCTCTGTGCCTCAGCCATCAGTTATACACTGAAAAGTACAGAGCTCCTTTCAGACCACAATGCTCTGCAGCCTCATCTGGTCCAGCTGCTGAGAGCAGGGACCTTTGGTTTTCCTTCTGCTACTCACTCACTAGCTTGTATTCAAGGATCTATGTTTAATCCATAAATCCCTCCATGGAGCTGGTCAGAGATCCTCCCTGCAACTCTCTGGGCAGTTTTCCACAGCCCAGGTTGTTGCCTGCCTCATCTCCTCCCCATGGCTACTGATGCCAAGAGCAAAGCAAAGAGGAGGTAGAGAAAACAAGCCCAAGAAGAAAGGAAGAAACTGAGAAGAGGAATTCAAAGGAATTGTGAAGAGGGGAAGAGGATGGAACTATTATTATTATTTGCAATAATATATTAATAAATATAATATAATTTATATATTAATATAATGAATAATAGTGACAGTAACAACAGGATGAACCTCCAACATATGGCTCCTGTCCTTTTACCATTGCATCAGAAACTGTGCTGAAGGGTGTCTGAAATGAAAGCAATAGACAAAGACAGTGTATGCTTACACCTGCACTATTTTGCACTTGAAATATTTAAAACTATTAAAAAAGATAATATTAATTAGCCACAGTAGACTTGCTAATTGACAGTCCCTGCTATGAAAATCATCATTTTCATAATTGGCTGTTCTCTTGCTATTTTTTTTCATATTCCAAGTGAAACCCATAATACTCCTTTTGTGCTGCCCCAGACTCTAGTGACTGTGGAAACATCTGCATTTATAAATTTTCATACAAAATTCACATCTGAAGTCCATGGATCTTTTCCCCCAAAGTCTGTGTAAAAAAACCCCATATAATTTGACCCTACAAGACAGGTCAAAGTTAGCTAACCATGTCTTAAATGAAGTTCCTTTTTGAAACAGTCACACTGGTGATTGCAGGCAGTTAAACATTTATATAGTTTCAGTGTCTCATCTCTTCTTTCTCAATTTTACACTGTATTCATTAGATTATTGATACTGTAATACTGAAATATAGCTCCACATAGAGTGCATATATTGATCCAGTGTAGTCTGTCCCAAATACAACCCTACAATGGATGTATACCATCGTATGGATATACCATGATCACCTCAGACTCTCAGTGTTCAGATAAAAATAGTAAAGTCGCAGTACAAATCACTGTGGTTTCAGGTATTTTTATATGTGCTTAGATAGTTAATGTGACTTTCTATTTCAGAATCACCTGGATTAACAGTCTGTGCATTTATTTGTGTTTGGTTTTTAAGCATAAATCATGCAAACAGCAAAAAAAATCAAACACAAGGTGTATAACAAGCTCTTCCAATTTTGATCATCGATCTCCTTAAATTAGCAAGCAACCAGTTGTGTTGAAATTGGAGATTGGAATATTTCTTAGTATCAACAGTTTTAGGCAAAAACTTGAGCAAAGGATGTGGAACTCAGAATAAAGAAAATAAAAAACCAAAATAGTACTAAATAGACAATGGCATAGCTTTCCTTTTTTTTTTTTTTTCCCATTAGTCTGGTCTTTGGGGCTGGAACAGAAGCTTGACATTTTTCAGGATGGCAACAGTGGCAAATGTAGGAAAATGGACTAGACCCAATGTCTACAGCTTCATTTACCTGAGCTGCTGGGTCATTGCTGTAATGTTAAAGCTGCAATTGACACAGATGAAAAGTCATTTCTCAGACCTCAGTGTTTTTGTGGTGAAAATATGCCCATACAAAAAGTGCATCAGTGCAGACAAAGGGTTGCATTTCCACTGTTTCCAACTCATAATTTTGTTTCTAGTCATAAAGTAATCAGTATTCTATAAAAACCTCCCACAATTAGTACAGAGCATTAGGATCTGCTCTGTCATCTGTCATTTACTGCTGGGAAGAAAAGGAAGGGAATGAAAAATAATGCCCTTCAAAGGCTCAGAAATTACAAGGCAAACACACAAAAAAACTTCAAAAAAGACAAAGAAAGGAATAAGAAAACAAAATCAAACCAAACAAGTCGTGATTTTAAAGAGTTTTTTATGATCAGGAGAGGAAACTCACAATTGTTCTCAGAAGTTCTACACACTTTTCTCAGTAAACATGAACTAGAGTCCCTAATGGAATTGATACTATAATAATAAAGCTCTCATATGCTCATATCAGTAAAAAATACATACATGGTGATTTACTAATGGGAAAAACTGCAATAAAAGAATACTTAATGAAAAAGAAATATCTGCTTAAATTGTAGTATTACGTATTTAAACTTAAAGGTACCTTAATTAGAACTTCTAGGATGATTTTCTTTCTATAATTTTCAGTAGCTCCTCTTTTTAATAGTGCACATTTCACAGGACAGCCAAGTGACAGAAACTGTTCTGAAATTTGGATCATACTTATAAATGGTTCTAGTTAAAGAGAGGAAGTAAAGGAAAAGGATTTAGGAAATACCAAATATGAAATGCTTTAAAAATTAATTTTCTTTTTTGAAAGGAAAAGGATTCAGGAAATACTGACTGTGAAATGCCTTAAAAAACAATTTGCTTTTTCAAACAGCCATTTTTAATGCAAAACTGCCAACATTAGTGAATACAGATAATGTAGAAACTTAAAAAAGTAATCAAATAAAAGATTTCTTTTTGAAACAACAAAGCAGTTTGTTTAACCTGGGGCTATGTATTATTTTTTTTTCTCTTCCATTTTACACCCATTTTGCCTGGAAAAATTTTGCTTTTCTGATTAGGCAGGCAGCCTGAGAAAACAGTTATTCCTTTAATGACTGTTTTCTTCGAGCTACAATCTTTTTGATGAAAATACAGTACACTATGTGCCTGTCTTTGCTGTGGATTGAGCATGGATTGATACCTCCGAAGGCAGTACATTGGGTTGGATTCAGGAGAGGGACTGCTGCAGCAGGAACAACTGACTGAGTTACCATACCCTGCTGACTGGGTGAAAACATAGCCTTGGAGGTGGCATCAAGCTTGTGGGGAATGCTGCTTCCTGATGTATTTGTTTGTTACAGTAACACCACATTTTTATGCCTCCAGCTCCTGGCTTGAGTAAGAGTGAGCTTGTACTTTACGTGCATGTGCTGTCTTCTTGGATCTAGCTTGTGTCTCTTCACTGCATATTATAGATACATTTTTGTGGCACACCTTGGAATATTAGCCTCTAGATATATACCTTTTGTCTTCTTTGGAGGAAGTTATTTAATTGGATTTGATGTTCTGAACTCAATTCCAATTTAATACAGCTCATAGGAAATCACTCTTTGAGAAAGCAGAACAGTTTATATTGCATGAATGAGCAGATTGTTCCAAGACTCTGCCAGGGTCTGTGCACACCTCAGCCTCTTATGTGAAAGCTAGAAAATCTCCTGCAAATGCTTACATCCCTGGTTGGGTTTTAACTGAGATTAGTTAGTCAGAGAATTTTTCTCTTTTCTTCTCTTAAACAAGCCCAGAAGAAGGTATTAATATCTGTTGGTGTCATTCTGTTGCTACTACAGTCTAGTCTAATATTTCAAACTGTGCATTGCATACAGCTGTGTTAAACAGCTCCAAATGCACATGACATGCAAAAGAGATGATTCAGGAGCATGGAGGCATCAACGTGTTCCTCTGTTGGACTAAAGAAGCTGATTCCTTCAGAAAGCCAGAACAGTAGCATTGCTGCAGATAATAATAATGCCACTGCAGAGAGCAGCATTAATCCAACAAATGTAATTTTTAGTAGCAGAGCATGTGGCATGTGCACGGCTTGCAGTTTTGCCATCCTGTGTACTGTGCTACTTTACATATCCATTACCTGCTGGTTGCCACACCTGAATGGGATGATAGGAGGTGTGGGCTTATCCCTGTGCCTGGGACTGCATCATCACAAGCACATCTTCTCTTAAGAAAAGACATTAAGTGTAAATGAGTATTATCTCATTACCTCTGTGTTTATTGGTCTCTGCCTTTCCTCAGAAAAGAAAAACAAGAAGCCTCTTTCTGATGAATGTCCTGTAATTAGAGTGCTTATTATTAATATCAAAACACACTTAGGTTGAAGAACATTTATCATGTATACATATATATATACAGAACTTCTAAACAGAAAAGTAGGTCTATGGTCACTTTGCCAAAACTTTTCCAATTGAGTTAGAATCAAATGTTTAGTTTCAGGCGAGGCTGCTGAAAGGTTATAATTTGGTTTCAGTTTGATGCCTGGTGCTGTATCTTCTTGGGCTGGGAACCCTGTTGCTTGCTGGAGTACCAGGGTCAGAGCCATGCTGCTGCACAGCCTCAGTGCTTTGCAGAAGGGAAAGCAGCTGCCTCCTGGGAACTCCAACAACACACACAGCCACTTGAACTGTGTGTAGCCAGAACTAAGGAATAAAGGCCAGTTTTTGCTTCCTATTCCCCTTTATAGATATGTGAGGTCAGGCCTGTAAAGAATTACTTTAAAAAATTCATTTAGCAAAATAGGAACTTAAAATAAAGTCTGAATATACCAATAATGAAGCTGAGTGTACATGTCAATACAGACTATGTATCTGTGGAGAGACAGATAAAGACATGAAAGAAAATGGGAAAACTCACATACAGTTTACAGCTACCCCAGGTGCTCAGCACTCAGCTATGGTGTTGAAAAGAAAGAAAGGCAAAATTGCTAAGATTTAATAATAAAATATTGTCTTTTTTTTTTTCTTCATCAGAACAGTTTTCAGTGATTTATAAGCAAGAGAATGATAAAATATTTATTATAGCAGAGTACAGAATACCAGGAAATACTTTATATCAACACTAGGAAATTTTTAGTATTTTATACATTTAAATGAAATGAAACTCTTCAAATGGTAGATTGCATATTTTTCAAGAAGTCTGAATCTGAAAATTAAAGAAGATAATAATCTGGTCTCAAATACAAGGAAATTTTTTCCTTGCATCAGCTAAGAGGAAGAGAAAGAGATATAAAGATGCAATTGATTTTAAAGTATTTTTAAATTAAAAATAAAACAAACAAACCAAACATAAAACTCCTACTCATTCCCCATAGTATTTTAATACAGATATGGTGAAATTCACCAAGAACAATTGAGACCATGGTGAAAGATAACCAATCCTCCTGATCTGTGGGGTTATATACCAACATGTTTCAGAGCCAGAAGCCGTCACACCCCAGAGTGCTGAGAAACCAATGAGTAGTTCTTATGTAATCAGGTCTTTTCCAACCTTAACGATTCTATGATTATATGTTTCTGCTATGTGATGAACAGCGCTGGCCTGGGCAGCTGAATCTGATGTAATGGGGCAGTGTTGGGCGCAGAAACTCTTGCTGACTTCCACTATCCTGTCAGGAGCTTTCCTGTGCTGGTCCAGGGTTGGTGGGATGTAGAGGAGCATGTGAATTGTTTAAGAGTTGTGGACAACTCAGAGCCAAAAGCTAACCATCTCCACTAACATTTTCTCCAATCTCAACAGTCAACAGTAAAGGAAGAGGGTATCTGCTACACTGGCAATACCAAGCTGAGTCCTCATTGTGTACAGTTTTCATCACTGTTTCACCACGCACTCTGGGCATTCCTGAAGCACAGAAAGAAACAGACTTGTTCTTGCTGTAAATGATTGATCTTCTTGACCTCTTGAAATGTTTTATTTTACATTGTTTATTTTACATTGTTTATTTTACAATGTTTAATTTTACATTTTAATATTTTTCAACATTTGTTTAAGTTATTTCTTTTGCTCCAACTTTCTAATTTCATTTTCTGTTAGCACTGTTTTAATGTTAAGTTCTCTTTGAAAATATTATTTGTGTACATGGTATATCAAGATTGTATTCAGAAATGACAATTTTTCAGGATATTGTCTCTGAGAAGCCTTTTAGTGAGGCTAAATTCAGACAAATTTAGTGTGATTTTCCTTGCACAAAAAAGTGTAAAAAGTTTGGGCATTCTGTCAATTTATTAACTGCTGTTAGTGGTGAAAGTGTCTAAGCAGGTAAGGAAAGAGAAGAATCATTTACTAATAAATTACTGGCATAAGTGAGGAATAAAGTTTTCTGAAAACATTTTTTATGATAAATTCAGGAACTAACTGTGGCTTTTACAGCTGATTCTACCAAGGCAAATTGGATTATGCCCCAGCTTGGCCTTGTATTTGGGGTAAATTAATTTCTCTCCAGAAATTGGAATGTTAAATGTAGAAAACATGTTTATCAATGCAGCTATGCTACCAAATTGATAAATGTTATTTTAGCTTATGAGAACATGGTAGCTGATCCTTACATTGCTATTTATAGCTGATGCAAGGAACTTATGTTTTTCCGTATGTATCAAAAGCTGTCATAAGTAATAAAGTTATGGAACAAAAATATGTTAAAAAATAAAAAATATGTTAAAATATAAATATAAAACAAAATAAAATATAAAACCAAAATAAAATATAAACCAAATATTTGTTAAAATATAAAATTCTAAGTCCCCTATGGAAGGAAAACCAAGAATAATAATAAAAAAGTATTGTAGTATGCAAAAGAAGATGGAATGAAATACAGCCACACACAGTTAAAAAGGGTTTAGAAGTTTTCACGGGACTTGCTGGAGAATATACATTGCTTCTGTGAGAAGATTTGGTTTATTAGTAATAGTCTGGGTAAAATTTCAGGGTTTAAGAGAATACTAATAAAGCGAAGATGGACATTAACCAGACCATGCTATAAATACCACACAAAGAGACCAAACAAGCTCTCTACTGAGAGACATGCTTGATGTTCTGCTTCACTGCTAGCCTGTAACAATAGGAAGAAACCTGTTGTCTTTGTAGAATTAGTTCAGTTAAATAAACTGCTCAAAATGCTATTGTTTAGGTCTGACAGTAGCTGCTTACTGTGGTTCCTCTTTATGCGCGATAAGCTGATGCAGCTCAGAGTCTGCTGCAGTGTGCCTGTAGCACACGTACATTTTAAACTGTGCCATTTGGCGTATAGAGCCAGTCCATGCTACTTTGCACAAATTCCTCCTGTTTTTGTTCTCATGAAGTGTTAACCATAGCTCAAGATGCTATACAATACAAGTTGCTCATTTAAGGGGGACATTTTCAGAAATTCCCTTCTATGAAGGTGAATTGGTTTATACCTGCAATTTAGTAACAGGTAACTTTTGGAGCAATTACGTGTTTTGTATTTGACTGCAAATGTAAACCTGAGTTCAGATTGCAGCATAAAATCTATACTAAAAAAATAAAATCAATTATTTTCTGAGTATCAGTAGTAAGGAATGTTTTGGTTTTTTTTTTCTGAATGGCAAACAAAGATTAGGAGCAAAATTCTCTAAGAATATATTATTTTTACAATGAGACTGAGTTTCACTCTGACAAGGAATATGTCTACTGTTAATAAGTGTTCATTTTTTAAATTAACAAAACAAGTTACATTTCTGAAAGCTCTCTGCTCTAGACATCAAATAATGTAGTCACATACAAGTGTTTCATTTAGCAGTTGGTTTGTCTTTTACTACCATAGTGGTGGACATTCAAGTCTGGTAGATAACACAGCTATTGTTAAATATGTTGACTATATCATTTAGGTGAAGTCATTCAGCCATTTCAGAACTGTGACCTATAATATTTTACTAATACAAACTTTGTGCTCACTGGTAATCATGAGATAATAATTCACTAAACAGTTTAGCTGGAAGAGAGCTCAGCTCAAGCTCCACACAGACATATGTCAGAAACAGATTATAGGGTAAGAGGCAGAGAAAATTAAATTTTAACTCCCTCCCCTCATACATAAACTCAAAAGACTCTCCAAAACAAACAAACATATCCTCAGCTGTGAGGAAGGATAGAAATCAGTACTGAAAACTGGATTAACGTGTTGGTTTCATGGGGACAGCAGGGACCAGAAAGCAAACTTCCTGTTATCAACTGACTTTCACTGAAAGCATGATCTTCTAATCTGATGCAGAAAAAGCTTTAGCTGAAGTCAACAAGGCTGGACCCTTTAAAGTTCCTGAAGAGTTCACAATTCATGTTAAATGAATAACTGAATAACTGAAAATTAATACCAGCATTTAGGCTGTTCTCTCTAGAATAAAAGAAAGAAAATGTGAGATGAAATTCACAGACACCCTTATGTCTTCCAAATTATGCTAAGACATGGAAATCTATCTTCTTAACTCTAACATGTATTTATGAGTTTAGTAGCAGGAAATTGCAATAAGTGTCATATTATTATGCAGAATGTATTCATAGCTCATTTACATGCTTATAGTAAATTTGAGGCACAAGAATCAGGATTTAAAGACTAGCAGTTTTTATGAATAAAGACTGATGAATCAGGTTCTAAACTCTAAAAACTGACACAAAATAAAAGCAGCTTTTAGGTAGGTTTTCAGACTAGTATAGGTGAGATTCACAAACTGAGGAATTATATAAGTTATCTAGTAGAATAACAAATGTCAGTGTTTCCTTCTTAGATTAACAAAAATAACATTTATGGTGCCACAAGTCCTTTGTGATTTATCAAACAATACTATTTTTGGGGATGAAGTGAATGCCACATTTGGTGCTTTTGAATCTGAAAATAGGTTGTTTTTTTTTTTTTGTTTTAGTTTATTTTTTTTCTTTAATTCAAAGATAACCCGTAGTCTTCAACTGACAATAAAATGTTTCACTTAACATCAAATTAACATCAACATGCTATTCAGTAGCACAAGATATTCAGAATAAATTCTAAGTGTGATTAAAGTATTCACATTCTGAACATGACATTTAGTTGAATTTAAATTCATTAAAATACGATTAAAAGGCCAGACAGTTGAAATACCAAATCAAGAAAATTTAATAGCTTTATTCTGTTTATTTGCATTTTTCTTTAAGTACTGGGTAAGATGACTGCATGTATTTGAGGATTTTTTGAATGAGATTGTTTACACCTGTAAATAAGAATATAAAATATAAGTATAAATCAGAATATCCCTCAGAACTGTATTGGACCAGCATGCACTATTAGAAAC